TCCCAAGTTCTCTTGCCTCACTATCCCCCCTTGAATCCGAAGGCGCCTCGCGATTGGGTGCTGGGGCCGGGTACGTCAGTCAGACTGTGACGTGCAGTCTTCCTGTTTCCTTCAGCTGTGTCTTAAAGTAAATCTTGTTGTGGAGCGGAGCCCTCAGCTGAGGGAGCGCTCTGAAATAATACACCATTGCAGCCGGGGAAAGCGGAGCGGCGCAAAAGAGCTCTCGCCGGGTCCGCCTGCTCCCTCTCCGCTTCGCTCCTCTTCTCTCCTCCTCTTTTCTCTCCCCCTCTTCTACTCTCTTCTCTCTTCTATTCTCCTCCCCTCTTCCTTTCTCTTCTCTTCCTTTCTCTTCTCTTTTCGTCTCTTCTCTTCTCTTCTCTCCTCTCGTCCCTTCCCTTCTCTCCTCTCCTTGCACACCCTCCTCTCTCTCTCTCCCCTCTCCCTCTCCCCATCGGCCCGCTCGCTCGCTCCCGCACCGACCCACCGTTCGCGGTCCAATTACCATATTCATCACCCGCAAGATCTCACCGTGTGTGTGCGCGCGCGGGTTTTCCTCTCTCCGCCTGCAAAAAAAGGCTCGGTCCCACTGCTCTCCGCACCGCGTAAGTATCTTCTCCCCCTCGCGAGTCCCCTCCCCTTTTCCAGATTCACTTGTACTGGCTTGTTCTTGAAGGAGAAGAAAAGAAAAGAGACTCCCATTACTCACACCCGTGTCAACATCTCCCCCCACCCCAACCCCAGAGAAAATGGTGTTCTTTAAATGAATCATAATAAAATAGCCTCTAAACAGTTTCTAAGCAGGAGCCTCAGTGGAACTCAGCGCTCCGCTCCTCCCAGTTCCTAAGAGTAAGTGATCCGCTTGGCTTTTATTTCTTTCTCTTTCCTGCTGGTGGCTGGGGGTGGTGTTGGCGATGGGGGGAGGCTGATAGCGCTGGACTTGCGCTGATCTTGTCACCTTTTGTGTACTGTTTCTGGGGAGTGAGGAGGCGTTTGCTTCCTTTCCTTCTTTCTCTTGTCCTCTCTTCTCAGGAGAGAGGACCGCGAGGGGGACCGGGTCGCTTTTTGTTCGTCTGGATCCCCGCTTTCCTCCCAGCCTCATCCTTCCCGTCTTCCCCGGTTAAAACTCCTGGGCTAGTCCCCGCGTCCTTTCTCTTTGTCTTGTTTATTATAGCTGCCTTTCTTCCAGGCTCTTCCAATTTGCTTGTCATTTGCATACCTTTCACTTCTCCTTTTTAACCCCAGCAGAGGGCCAGGGAGTAGGGAGGAAGGGAGAGGGAGGAGGGGGGCGCTCTATTACTTTCCTCTCAAAACGCTGTCGAAGCCAAAAGGTTGAAATCAGGGTTGCAGCAGTGGCGAGATGGTCCCGGGAAACGAGCGCGGCGCCCCTCTCCTGAGCTCCCAGGCACCAGGGCTAGGTCAAGTGGAGTAGGGTAAGGTGGCACCGGGAGCCCCGGGGTGGGGGGTCGTGTGGTGGAGGGGCCGGGGCTCGAGCTCCGCGGGAGGACGCAAGGATCGCGCTCCGGGTGGGGGTAGGGAATGTTCTTGGACAGCAGATGTGCGAGGCGAAGACTCTCACAGTTATCCCTGGCAGTTGGCGTGATTGGGCTGCTTCGATCTGATCTTGGTTCCTCTGGTTGGTACCTACAATTTTGTCCCACTTTGGAGGATCGGAGAGGGAGGAGAGGAGAGTTGAGGGTAACTGGTACTGGAAGAATAGTGAGGGGGGAGGGAAGAGCTGCTATCTTGCCTGAACAGACAAGGAGGGGGACGAGGGGGACAAGTTGAGGGGGCAGACATCATCCAAATCCCAGTTTAGCAAGTTGTTGCTTCTTCTGATGTGCCAGCCACTTACTCCTCCTGCTAAAACTGAAGGTAAGGGGATAGTGTAGATTGAAGGGGCGAGGTGGAGGGGGGCAGGAGGGAAGTGTAGGGAGAGTAGCTTTGGAGAGAGACTGACAGGTCTCTCGCCACTTCTCAGCTCTTTTCCAAAGTTGAGAGCCCTCCAGGCAGGCAGAGAGAAGAACTAGGAGCAGAGGCTGAGCGGCAGTCTTAAATAGCCCAAGGAGGCAGCTTGGGATGTGAAACTGCTGTTCTTGGCAATCCAGAACCCACTCCGCCTGGGGGAAGGCTGGGAACTCACCTGCTTGTTTTTATGTTTCCAAGAAGGTCTGTGTTGTCTCCTTGAGCTTATAAAAACAGTGCGGGCACAGGGTGGCCTTCTCTCAAAGTCAAGGCTAGAAGGCTCTTCTCTTGTTCTGTCCCCCCACCCCCTTTCCCCCGTCTATAACCTCCCTTACGAAAAAAATAATTTCCTTTCCTAGCCTAGGTAGGCAGAGCTCTATTAGTAGAGGGCTGTGCATGGGCAGGGCCTGACAGGTGTGTTGTGTCAAGAAAGACAGGTGCAAATTTCCTCTGTGTCTGTGTGTGTCTGTACAGTTCCAGACCACAATGCGTGCTCCAGGGTTGTAGAGGTTTATGAATTTATGGTTGCCCTGGTTAATAGGATTGTCTGGGCTAATGGGAACTGGGCTGTTGTTATGTTTCGAGCCCTGCCATGTGAGTTCTTTGGTTGGGGGTAGGGGACCCAGTTGGTATGTGTTTGTTTATTTTTCTTGAGGATGTTGGCAGGCTGCTCCTGAGGCTGTGTCTCAGGCTCCTGTCTGCCAGGCAGCTGAAAGTACCCCCACTTCAGGCAGCAGGTGGAAGGAGATTGACTTTCTCTTTGCTTCCCTCTAGTTTATGCCTGTCTCCCAGGTCTCCGGTGGAGGGGAGTGGTGAAAGCCGTCTTGTGTGTGTATGTGTGTGTGTGTGTGTGTTTTGGGCATCCATGGGTGGTGCGTGTAACTGCCAAGAATACCAAAGTCAGTTTGCAAGTGTTACTGCTGTTAAAGCTTATCTTTTTAGCATGCTTTCTCTCTGCCCAGAAAGAATAGGTATGTATATAAACTCTTTCAAGTCATATGTTAAATACTCTCATAAAGTAGAATGAGCCTGTCATTGTACCAGACATGTGCCAGATGTCCTAGTTATTACTTTGATGGAGAAGGAAAATCTCAAGTATGTGAGAGGTAACTGCGCTTTTCTGTTTGATGCAAGATGCAGGCAAGCAGCTTCATGAAGAGTTTCTTGCAAGAACTTCTGAGTATTTTCAAAATGAAGTGGGCTATGGGTGGTAAGGAAGAAAAAAAGGAGTTATCTGGTTAACCTGCAACACAGACCTGTTCCTACAATGGTTAAATAGACAAAGGTGACAACCGTGGCTTCGTGTGTGTGAGGGAAGTTAGTGAGAATTCAATATGAGCACTGTATCTGGATTCTTAAAACCTGACCTTTTACATTTTTCCTTAAATAAGCTATTTCTTGAGTTGCTCGGAAATAGATTAGATGGTGAATGGGTTTTGTTGGTTGGTTTGGTTGCTTGGATGATGATCTTTGTTTCATGAAAATGAGATAGTATGTGTCATTTAGTCTTTCAACTTAAACAGCAAAGTTCCTTCTACTACTTCCCTTGGATGCTTTTGAAGTTCTTTTATAATTAAAATGTCATCTATGGATGTGTTCATTTGCTTTATTTTTAACAAGGGTTATCTGTGCTTGGCACTTACTGATATTTTTATGTGTCCATTATGCAGAATTTATTTAGTTTAATCACCACCTTGTGGGGAAAAATTCATGCATACGTAACATGAATCTTTGTTCTCACTTTATTCATTCCCTAGCATCGTCCCTCCATAAGTAGCACTTACAATCTTAGAACATAACCTAGCTGCCAGGCTTGCTCTTTATTTGTTCAAAGTGAAATAGGCCTTTTTTCATGAATTTCTTATAGGCATTGTTTTGCATCTGCGCTTGCTAATGTAAGGACTTCTTAGGTTCAGGATTAACAAAAGATTGTAAAATGGTACTGTTTTTATAATATGAAGATGGGTTGTGCATGATATATTATTATTGGATTCTAATTAAGTTCCTATATAAACTGGAAAGGACATATATGTAAGAAATTAATCCATCCTTATTGCCTGGTGTATTCTAATGCCTTAGAGGACATTTAGAGTATTTCAGTTTTCTACAGAAAGAAAAGTGTTTTTTCTTGAGGTTATTTCTCACTCTCTTTTATTTACTAATTTGGTGAATTATTACGTTTTCAATAGGTAAAAATGAATATTTTAGGCATGTCTCAGAAAATCTCCTGTGTTCATTTTGCAGGTGAAAAATGTATGGAATTTTTGATAGGATGGAGGAATTTTAAATGAAATGGTGATGATTTGAGGGCTCTCTGATGATAGGAAATTTTAAAACCTGATATAAGATTTTAACAAAACAATCTTAGTTAATTTAAGTATTAATGAACATCAAGTGGGTTTTTCAAAATAAACACCAAAGGCTTTCTTAACCTGGTGGCTAAGCTAAAACATCTCCAAAGGAAAAGTTGCTAGTTAGCAGACATGCACTCTTCACACAGTGAGGAGGACAGCTTGGTAGGGGGCAGGGGCGGGGGAGTACCTAAATCAAATCATCTGATTTTCCCCCCTGAATTACTGACTTCCAGATGGATTTATAGTGTTCTTTGTTACTGATAATCCACTTGAAATTTCGTAACCAGGTTGACTCAAGGAGATCAGAGGCCCACTCAAGGGTGGTTTTCTAAAAGAAGAAGTAAAGTGTAGGTTTGAGCAATTTCTTCAAATAATTTTATCAACAAAGACAGGTAATCTCAATAATCCCAACAGGAGACCATGCCAGCCTGACACTTCCCCATCTCATGAAAGATTTGACTGAACAACTTGAATGATAACCATGATGAACACTTCTTTGTCCAGAATCTGGACTTCAGACAGATATGTAAAAGTTGCATGCCCCCTCCCCAAATAACTTCTTTATTAAAGCAGAGCGCTTCACTACTGTCTTGCTTCAGTGTTCCTTTGAAATTCTTCACTGAAAATTTCTTTCTACTAACATTGTCATCAGCTTCCTTAGGATTCTCCATGTTAAATTATCTGACATCCTTCAGATAATTCGGATTTTAATGAAGAATCTCTTGGAGTAGTTAAAATCCGACTTGATCGTACTTGGATGTGTGTTCTTATCTTTTTCTGGGAGGAATCTGCCACGTTAAAATACCCCTCGTACAGGAATTATTTAAACATTTGTGCAGTTAAATACTAAGTGGTACAGCCCAATATTTAATAATAAAAATATTTTACATAGATTTTCACATGCCTTAAAGAGACGTTTGCAGAATTAGTGTATGTGTATCCGATCAGCAGTAATTTGGGTTCAAATTCAACTGCAGTGTTTTTCTGCATACTTGCTGATACTGATGTTCACCAGTGCTGATCAAAAGGTTTCATATTGCCTGGTTAAACTCAAAATTAATATTACAATTCAAATATAATAAAAGTCAAGAATAACTGTAGTGGAAACATATGGCTTAGTACATATATTGAGAAATAAAGGAGTTTTTAAAAATCTTAATGGGCAGGATGGTATCAATGATAAATTCATTCCATAGCATTCTCTAAATCCTGAATTGGACAATCACAAAAGCACCCTTGAAAATGTTTTCAAGTGATTTAATTTACATTATAGTCATTTAACAACACGTTTTCTTATGTGGTAAATATATTCATATATATATATATGTATATATATCTTATTTATAAAATATGATGTTACTAAAGTACTATTGTCAACCAGTTATAATTATTTAATCTCACTTATAACCTCCATGGGTTATAATCCCAATGTGTATGACCACTATACCTTTATTTTTGAGTTTAGGTCAAAGCTATATAGAGAGGTATATTTATTTGCCCCTATTAATATAATGCCTTGTCTCGCTGGATCATATAATATTTCCTAGTTTTCCTGTTTGTGTTGTCCTTCTTATGTCTCAGTTGTACATTCTACAACAAGACCAAAAAGTATTTAAATTCTTTTCGCCCCAATCAGAAACAAATCATTACTTAATCTCAGAATGCTGACCAGTCGTAAGGGAATGGCAAAACTCAGTTCCGCTTGGTGAATTTGGAAGAAGTTAGGGGATATTTTCTTCTCAAGAGACCCCAAAGTATGTTTAATTAACACTCATTCTCCACTGAAGATGAGATCATTTCTTTCCACCTTAGGAAGAGTGCAGCACTCCTCTTGGCTCCAGCATGAGGCAGGGATGCAGCTGTTGATACCTAGGCTAGATGAGAGGAAGTGCAGTTGACACAGAGGTAAATGGCAGTTGGGAAAGGAAGGATGGCTGGGGGTGACCTTGTGCTCATCTCTTACACCAGCGTGTTGTTTCTGAGCCTCTGCTGCAGAGATGCTTTTCCTAGAGCAAGGATGGGTTGGAGGAAAACCCAGATTGGATCTTGAGGGGAACGGGGGAAGAAAAATCCTGCAGAAAGTTTGTTCAACATTTTGATGGGAAAGCTGTGTGCTTTTCAGGTGATATTAGAGAGAAAGTGATTTGCACACGAAAAGAAAAGAGGTAAAATTTTTAAATAATGGCAATAAACTCCATTTTTGAAAGGCTGATATACACACACAAAAGTCCTGCTTGCAAAGACCTCCCCCACGATATGCAAATCTTTCTGAGCTTTGAAATAACTCATCCTTTTTCTTGTTTGTCTCAGTCTCCACTTTTTTTTCCTCTCACCTGACAACTACACCCGACTTACCAGATCTAATGTGTTAGTGATACACTGCCATTGCATTTTTGTCCTTCTGAAACTGATTTCATTATTAATGTGTGAGGGGTCTCAATCATTGTGAATTCAGTTTTGAACCCTATGTTGAAGTTATCAAGATCTGTTTCCATTCTAAACTCAGGAAATTTTATCCTGAGGCATACAAAAAGTATTTTATCCTCAAGCATAGAAAAAAAACATATAAAGAAGCATCATGTTGCTTTCATGGCACTCTAATACCTGCTTTATTTAAATGTTGTATCTTCATGTGCAAACTGAGAACAACGGCTGCATGATGAAATCTTTGTCGCTTAAAAAAATACATGTTGCCATCTAAGCATTGAGCCTTTTCTTGATTTTTACAGGTTATTTCATGCTGAAATTATGCCTATTTGCATGGATAGTCATTCTTTAAAACTAGCCACAGATGCAGTCCTAGGGAGCACGTAGATGTTTTTACAGGTGAACCGAAAGAGATGGGAGCTGTTCCAAACACTCTGCACGCTGCCTTTGGCAATAGACCCTGTTATTGTGAAGATGTGCTCTGTTAAGCAAACGTGAAGTTTAATATTAGATAAACCTCGTGTGAAAAAAATATTTTCATTTTCTCCATAAAATGTTAATTATAAGCAAAAAGATGCAACATCCTAACATTTATACAAAATTTGGGGTTAGCATCCCTGCTTAATAAGTCACAAAATATGTCAAGTGCTTTTAATAAAATGCAAGGAAGGATGTTCTCTTTTTATATTGTGTTCCCAAGAAACAATGGAAGTTCATATGCAGAGACGGTATTTCCCTTTCTCACATATTTAATTGATGTTATTTTCTTTCCTCTTTATGTATCTTCTTTCAGCCTTTTTTTCCCCCTTTGGCATAAGAAAAAAGATTCACAAATGGTGTATGTTAAAGAGTTTCTTTAGGCATTTGAAGTATTATTTTGGCAGATTATAAGGGGAAAAAAACTAGTACTGAAGATGTATTTATCCCTGCCTAAGTCAGTTTATTGTTCCACATACTGGTTTCTAAAATGTGACAGTGTCCTTCTTTTGCACTGAGTCCAACTTTATAATAACCTAAGTCATCAAAAAGACATCATGAAAATCTATAAATATTCTCACACTTACGTTAAAATCTAGCAACAGATCCCACCTTCAAATGTGATTTTAGTGATACCAATGCATATCTGTGCTAAATAAGCAGACTTGTAAAATGAGTATTTGGGCATTGATTTCAGTGTTAAATTGACCATTTCTGTTGGAAAGATGCTGATGGGAGTGTTCTCTTTCCCATTTCACATGTGACAAAAATATTTTAAAATTCAGTAATAAAGGGTGTGTGAAATATTTGCATTTTTAAGAGTCTTTTTTCCTCTAAGGGTGTAAAAGGCACAATAATTTTATTGCAGAAATGGAGTTTTTCATCCAAATTTCACGCATCCTCAAAATTCAGCCTTGTTTCTTAGGTATAGACCACTTTTATTTTCTTTTGTAATATGAATCTCAATGCCCAAAATTTAATCAATTGGTTGTCAGAGGCTGTGTTCTTATAATCTACTGTTTCTTCTGAAGATAAACAGTATCATTTTAGGCATTTGTGAAAGAGAATCATATTACTGGTGCTTAAGCAGTTTTTGCTTTTTTTTTTTAATCTTAATCCATCTTAAACCAGTGGAGCAGAAATATTTAAAAATGTTTCATTTCAAGCAGAGTGCATAATAAATTGCAATAATTGTAATGTGCCATAAATCCCAGAGCCTATGCATTTTGCATTTGATTCAGGATTGAGGTCAGGAAATTTGGAGAAATTTAAAGAAAATGATTCATCAGTCCTTTTGTTCTGTTGGCCAGGGTCCCGGGATTCTTGAGCTGTGCCCAGCTGACGAGCTTTTGAAGATGGCACAATAACTGTCCAGTGATGCCTGACCATGACAGCACAGCCCTCTTAAGCCGGCAAACCAAGAGGAGAAGAGTTGACATTGGAGTGAAAAGGACGGTAGGGACAGCATCTGCATTTTTTGCTAAGGCAAGAGCAACGTTTTTTAGTGCCATGAATCCCCAAGGTTCCGAGCAGGATGTTGAGTATTCAGTGGTGCAGCATGCAGATGGGGAAAAGTCAAATGTACTCCGCAAGCTGCTGAAGAGGGCGAACTCGTATGAAGATGCCATGATGCCTTTTCCAGGAGCAACCATAATTTCCCAGCTGTTGAAAAATAACATGAACAAAAATGGTGGCACAGAGCCCAGTTTCCAAGCCAGCGGTCTCTCCAGCACAGGCTCCGAAGTGCATCAGGAGGATATATGCAGCAACTCTTCAAGAGACAGCCCCCCAGAGTGTCTTTCCCCTTTTGGCAGGCCTACTATGAGCCAGTTCGATATGGATCGCTTATGCGACGAGCACCTGAGAGCAAAGCGCGCCCGGGTTGAGAACATAATCCGGGGTATGAGCCATTCCCCCAGCGTGGCGTTAAGGGGCAATGAAAATGAAAGAGAGATGGCCCCGCAGTCTGTGAGTCCCCGAGAAAGTTACCGAGAAAACAAACGCAAGCAGAAGCTGCCCCAGCAGCAGCAACAGAGTTTCCAGCAGCTGGTTTCAGCCCGCAAAGAACAGAAGCGAGAGGAGCGCCGACAGCTGAAACAGCAGCTGGAGGACATGCAGAAACAGCTGCGCCAGCTGCAGGAAAAGTTCTACCAGATCTATGACAGCACTGATTCTGAAAATGATGAAGATGGTAACCTGTCTGAAGACAGCATGCGCTCGGAGATCCTGGAGGCCCGGGCCCAGGACTCCGTGGGGAGGTCGGATAATGAGATGTGTGAGCTGGACCCCGGGCAGTTCATCGACCGAGCCCGGGCTCTGATCAGGGAGCAGGAAATGGCAGAAAACAAGCCCAAGCGGGAAGGCAGCAACAAAGAAAGAGACCACGGGCCAAACTCCTTACAACCAGAAGGCAAACATTTGGCCGAGACCTTGAAACAGGAACTGAACACGGCCATGTCGCAAGTCGTGGACACTGTGGTCAAAGTCTTCTCGGCCAAACCCTCCCGCCAGGTTCCTCAGGTCTTCCCACCGCTCCAGATCCCCCAGGCCAGATTTGCAGTCAACGGGGAGAACCACAATTTCCACACCGCCAACCAGCGCCTGCAGTGCTTTGGCGACGTCATCATTCCGAACCCCCTGGACACCTTTGGCAACGTGCAGATGCCCAGTTCCACAGACCAGACGGAAGCACTGCCCCTGGTGGTCCGCAAAAACTCATCTGACCAGTCTGCCTCCGGCCCCCCAGCTGGCGGCCACCACCAGCCCCTGCACCAGTCGCCTCTCTCTGCCACCGCAGGCTTCACCGCGTCCACCTTCCGCCACCCCTTCCCCCTCCCCTTGATGGCCTACCCGTTTCAGAGTCCACTAGGTGCTCCCTCCGGCTCCTTCTCGGGAAAAGACAGAGCCTCTCCCGAATCCCTAGACTTAACTCGGGAGACCACGAGTCTGAGGACCAAGATGTCATCCCACCACCTGAGCCACCATCCTTGTTCACCAGCACATCCACCCAGCACCGCCGAAGGGCTCTCCTTGTCTCTCATCAAATCCGAGTGTGGAGATCTTCAAGACATGTCCGAAATCTCACCTTATTCGGGAAGTGCAATATCCTTTCACTTGCCCCTCAGGGAAAACAAAGCCAAGCCAAAAAGGCTTCCCAAAAGGTCAGGTTTACACAATATTTAGAAAAATGTAGATTAGTATCTTCTCAAGAATGCGATCTTTCCTCTTATTCGGAGCCATGGGCTTTTATCAGCATATGTGTGGCACTTCTGGTTGTACAAAAGCTTCACAGGAAACCAACATCTTCACAACTTTCTCAAGTTGTTAATTGCCCCAAAGCGCTAGTCTTTAATTTGTGCTTTTTCAGCAGTGTTTTTCCTATGATTTCGTCCCGTACTATCTCCTAAATCCTTCCCCCCACTCCACCCAAAAGTAGATTTAGAGATGGAAAAGAATCTCATTGTAATACTGAATTCTATCAGATTTAATTTTATAAGATGGTAAGTTTTATCATGGACTAGAAAGAAAAGTCAGTCTTTGGATCTCTAAGATTCCATAAAGAAGAATTCTCCCTTTAACTGTCGACAAGACTGCTGGTTCGTTTAAAGAAGGCCTGGTTAAATCTTATGAGGAACACTTTACTGGTGGGAGGCTGCAGTGGGAGAAAGAGGGATGTGGATGGGGTGTTAGATTCTGTCTTTACTCTTTAAGTGAGATGCGAGTTTTTTTTTTTTAAGGAAATACACAGGTACTGATTTATTCAGATGGCATCCGTCTCTCTCCCGTCCACCCAAGGTCTGTTCTGTGGGTCTGGTGCAGCTGCCTCTATGCATGATTAACCTCTGTTCAGCCATACACAGAAATCTTTTGTCCTAACATACACAAAGCAAATTATTTTGGAAAGCGAGAGAGCACAATTAAATATAAAACTCAGCTGTATTCGACTTTAAAAATGCCTCTTTTTATGTCTCTTTTATATTTTGAATCTGACTTTTCTGTAGAGATGCCAGTTGTATTTTTTTATTAGACCTGTCCTGAACTCCAGCTATTTTTAACTCAACAATTTTTTTTCTCTGTAAATTGGTCCTTTCAGTAAATTTTTAAAAACCTGATGGTCGTTGATGTTTGGGGGGAGCAGAATAGTAGCATTTGGGGGCAAGGAGAGGCATGTTTCTTTCATAATAAATTGCCAGATGGATATAAAATTTAGCAATTAAGTTGGCCGTTGCTAAATTGAGGATTTTGAGCAATCGTCTTGATGACTAGAAATCGGCATTTTCATATCTGAGCCCACTTCAGAGGCTGCCATGGAAGTGCAAAGTACCAGCTGTGGTGGAAATGTGCTTTCCTGGGCAGTGAATGTCCACCTTCCAGCCGAGTCAGGGTAGCTGTGAAGATTTCCTGTATGGTGAATGCAAGCCCCAAGGATGAGACCCACTTGGGCATTTCATCAAAGAGCCTCTTTCTTTTCCCTAGAAGGGAAGAAGGGGATGCTGTCTTGAGAGAAAGAACAGAAAGATTTGAGGATTTAATATGTAAAATAGAAACTGAGTCTTGGTTTGGTTGCTGATTTCACATCTGCCTCTCAAAGATCTAGATTTTAATCCACCAGTCATGAATCAAAGCTGGGCCAAGTACCGTGCCTTCCACATCATAAGCAGGCCATAAACATTGATCAGATTGGAATATAGCTGTTGGTGACGAGCAAGGCAAAGTAAGAAGACACAAGGCCAGGCTCCGACAGGAGAGCATCCTCTGGGGTTCATACCAGGCTCCTGTCCAGGGCTAGACCCTGGTACTCCTGAGAGATGCCTTACTTATTTAGAAGCCAGTTGTAGTGGTGGTGGGTTGTTGTCCTCTTTCTATGTCTCTGTCTCTGTCTCTCTCACACACACACACACACAGAGGAAAGGGACATGCCTATTTGGGTGAATATTTGAAGCCAATTTTCAAACTGCTGTAAGTCCCATACTAAACTCTTTAACTCAGGATGCCAGTTTATGTTTTTTTTAAGTAGACTTGTCACTGTATCCAGATAATTCTGCTTCTGCTCTTTTTTTTTTTTTTAACAAGTTGGGTCTTCTAAGAGAAAAATCTTTGGATTGCGCCAAGTGTTGGCTAAGCTCATTGTCTCACCCTCTCTAAATCCCCTGAGGAATTTTGAGGATTTGAATGGAAAGAAGTTCCCTTTCTTTCTATACATATCAAAGTCCTTGAAGAAAATATCGGTGCTTCTTCTTCAGGAGAATAACTTCTCCTGTCTCCAACCATGTAAGATTATATGGAACAGCGATGGTTTAGCAACATCTGTGTTCACATGCAATGTTAGTTGCTTACACCTAGAGTTGTTTCTTTTCTGTCGCTACGTAATTTTGGCCTCTTGCTGCAATGAATGATTACGTTTTCCACCGTCTGGCCTTCTAGCCTCTGTTTCTCTTTTCTCCTCTACTACCTCACACTTTTAACCACTGATCTCATTGGTATATTATTTCTCAGGAAGAAGACACACAAGCACCCTTCCCTGTAGTCCACACAGTTCTGCAGCCAGTGAGGACCTGAGTACTTGCTGGGAGACTGGATCTACTTTCCTCCCATCTCCATCCTTGTGTGGCGATGAGTTCTCCCCTTGATTTACCTGGTGGTGTTTAGGCAAAATTCTCAAGCTTTTAGTTTCAAGAGATCTCTGGGAATCACAGCGAGTGATCTTACTTCCATATTGGAACCTGCTATGCAGTTTTTCTCAGAAAAGAGTGATAGAAATGAGGAGAAATGGGATAAAGTGGTACCATCATGATTGTCATTGTTATTTGTTTTATTTTTAGTTCATGGCTTTCCAAATTGTAGTGAATAATTTAATTCTTAAGGAGCGATTCTCACTCCCAAAGGCATCGTCTGTTTCTTTGAACAAAGTATCCGAGATAAGAGCTATTAAGAATGCCAGCTTATCAGATAAGTCCAGTCTGAGTTCAGCACATTAAGCATGTATGTTCCATATAATAGAGCACAGTCTCGTTACCCTTCCTAGTAGAAAGGAAACGGTGAATGTGTGCGTGTTCAACTGAATGTCAGTGCACCTGCTCTGAAAGCTCATGTCTTGGATACAAAAAATGCGTTCAGTGTCTTTGCATTTATTTAATCAAATTTTAAGTTTTATTCAAATTCCAAAAGAAACAACCAGCCAATTGTTTTTCCTCGTGATGTTCCTTGTCATTCATCCTCTTTGCATCTCAAGAAAAATAGCCTTGTTTGGGCCTCAGACATTTGCATGCACCCAATTAAAGCACAAGAGGAGTGTTCTACGCGCTTAAGACATGCACGTGAAGAAATTGGGCCTCTTCGTGGCAGCCAGCTTTCCCTACTTGACTTTTAGGGAGAATGTTGAAAATATTTGAAGTTTAACAAGGAAAAGGGTTGAGTAATTTGCAACTGAAATCCATCAGGAAAACATGAATTAAAAATGAATTTCTAAAATGGGAACTAATCCATAGAAGTTGATCTTTTACATTTTTGGACATCACGAGGGGTGCACAGTCATTCTGTTAGCTATATTAGCTCTAGGGAAATATATGTTAAAGGCTGAAGGCCTCTGGGTGCCTCCCCTCCCCCTCCCCCAAATTATGAAGTAAGTAAATTTTTTTTAATTTCCATAAGCATCCCACCAATTATGTTAAACTTCTCAGTGGAGCACCAACTTGCTCCATTTTGATTACATGTGAGCATTTAGGTATTTTCTCCCCATTTAAGGTTTCTAAAGGGGAAAGCTTCTTAGAAACATAGGAGATGAGAGCTTAAGGAAAAGGCTAAAATTCTTCACAGTTCAAAGTGTTTTAGAAATTGTAAGCAAGTAGTCCCATTTGGTTGGCACTGCAGCGTGTGAAACCTCTAGCCACAATTCCGAGTGCAGTTGGGGGGAAAAAAAAAGAATTTTCTTCCTGCAGCCTTCACAACCCATTATTCGCCCATTTGCCTTTTTTCTGCCTCCTCTGCTCCCCCGTCTGCTGCTGTTTAGGTGAGGTTATATCGTGCTCGGTAAACAGACAACACTCACATTCTCAGGTTGTTTGAACACCGTTTGAGGTTCAGCTGCAGCACCCTACTTCTCTGATCTTTTATATCCCCGAGCAGATGTCTTTCATTAATTTATGGATTTATCATCTTTTTTTCTTCTCCTTTTCTTTTCCTTTCTTTTTTTTCTTTTTCTTTTCTTTTTTTTTTTTTACACCTGGCAGCTGTCTCAAGTTTCAGCAGTTATTGTCTATTTTGCATTATACATAGAATTGAATGTCATCTGTCTTCACAAAGCTACGGCTAAGAGAATTGAGGCAAAGCCACATGAGCTGCCGGGACAGATCTTGTTTGCGTTCCATCCCCCCTCACCCCACCCCCCCTTTACCTCCTTAATATTTATTTGTGCTCATTTTCTTTCCTGGCCTTGAATGGAGCTTAGCTCGTGTTCAGTACAGCTGTATGTTTACTGAATCTATTCCATCATGAGTCATTGTGCGTGTGTAAGTATCCTGGAAACAGCTAGAGCTTTCTTGGAAGAACAGTTGCTTTTCAGCACAAGCACTTAAAAGGGAAATTAACCAATTGGTCAGTTCAGATTTATTTTGAGGAGGAAAAAAAAGGATTATCTAACTGTTGGCTTTTAAATGTTTCATTAGCTATTTTTAATAGTTTATTAGAAACATATATTTTATGGGAACTTTATCTTAATTACACGAAGAGCAAGAAATAAAGATGTATTCTGTGTTCCGTTTCAGCTGATCGATTCCAAGTATTACCACCAGGAAGCATTTGAAAGCAAAAACGGACTTGAGAAATTCAAATTAGAATGATTTTTTTCATGAAATAAAAAGCCTCTAAATCCCAATCAAAATAAGATGGAAACGTGCTCTGTTTTTTTAAAATTTTTTTTCTAAATACAAAGAAGGAAAACATCTTAGCATAATTTAAAGGTATTGAAAGTTTGGTAGCTCAATAGCTGAGAACCACAACAAAAAAACAAAAAACAAATAAACAAAATTTGTATGAGACCAAATTTGAAAAGATTTGGGACCTTTCCCCCACTAATAATTAAATGTACAGGGTTGTTTGAATGTCATCGTCTGAGAGAACAGACTAGAACCCAGACCTGAGGATGTTTGTCGAAGTTTGGACTTGCCTAAAACTCTTATCACGAGGCAATAGGAGACAGCTTGTAACTATTATTTCACTTATCCATTTGGACAGATGGTCCTGAAGTGTGCCGGGCTCCTTTAGTCTTCCCCATCAGTCTAATGGAGGTTACTGGAGGGCCTTTCAGCTCTCTCCTTGGCACAAGAAGTATGTCAGTCATAAATTATCGTCTTTGTAATCATTAAGGATCTCAAACAAAAACACAAGTTCAGTTAAGCTGCTCTGGCTTACAGATAGAAAAATTAAAATTTCTTTCTTCGGTGTTGCGTTTCAGCGAAAAACAAAAGGCACAAGATTTAACTTTTCAATTTACAAACCAAGGTGATCTTTTTCAAATTGCATGATATTAAAGGGAAGGCTAATTGATCACATTCTCAGCAGAATATTTGGTTAAACACTCTGTTGTAAGCAGTCAAGGGCTTATCAATATTAATTTGATTACCCGTCTCCAGTACACTTTTTGGTTTCCCTCTGTTCCTAAGATTGGTCACGCTGTACTTGACGGAGATCATTTAGAAACCCTTACCTTTCCTAAATATCTGTGTTGCTTTGACCTTTCTTCACACAGTGCAAAATTTTTGTTTGGTTTGTTAGCAAAGTGTGCATGTGCTCATGTGCGCACACCCACACATGTGTATTTTCTTTTCTTTCTTTTTTTTTTTTTCTTTTTTTTCCCAGACTCTCTTTTAAGAGAAAATCCTTAGAGAAGCTTCTAGGAAGGACCCTTAATTGACCTTGTGGGGGACCACATTGATTTTCTCCACGTGCATCTTCATTTCTGATAAATTATAAAGCCATTAATTTGCTGAGGGAATGGCAGGGCCAGGCTGCAGCACAGATGTGACCAGAGCCATCCCAGCTCCGAGTCTGCTGAGGAGTGCCAAGAATCCGGGGGAGAATCAGGAAGCCTGGATTGTTATGGTTAGCCTCACATTCTCCCGGGAACTGTTTTAGTTGCTGCTGTTTACAGATCTAAAAGGTAATGATGTTTCCAGATAAATAGGCCTTCTTATTTTGGGTAAGTGGCCATTTATTGATCTGCTAACCCACATTTATTGATTTGCTAGCCCCAACCACTGTGCCACTCTCCAAGGAGTTAACTATAAATCCAGGAGAGGCAAATTGTATTTGGTTTTGGATCGTTCTTAAACAAAAGCAACACCCCCACCCCTGTTCTCTCGGTGCCCAAGCGACCCCTCCCAAGTTTTAGCCATTATTTAAAAGGAAACAATTAAACAGATATAACAATAAAAGAGGAAGAAAGTGAGTCAAGATGCTCCGCTGTATTAGCACTAAAAGGTAAAATGCGAAGCTTGCCTAAACAGTGTTCAAAATAATGCATTTTATATTTTCACGTACATTAGTATAGTAATTGGATGTCAACCGCAGAGAGCGGAGAGAAGAGCAAACAGAACTGTAATTGTAGAGAAGAAAAAAACTCTCATGATAAGAGTTGTGCAGTACCTGTTGGGTGCATTTGTCTCCTTAGCAACAAGTGAACGTATAGATAGCATAAGGGCCTCAAATGGGGAAATGGCTTGCCATCCTCACCACCAAGTAGCCAAGATTCTGCAGCTAAATTGTGCATCCCGGCCGTTACGTCTGGCAATTTCTTGAGAGGTCATTTTGAGCAAGCAGCAGCAAGTTAGTGATGGATTCTATGAACTGTGCCATTTATCTTCCAGAATTCCCATGGCTGCTCTGTGGGCCTCTAGATTCTTAGGGGAGAACGGGAGGAGTGTTAGGTGCTTGTGTTTCAAGAAATGTTTTCCTTAACCGTTTGCATCCTACATGCAGGAAGGATTGTCACCCAATCACTTGAAAAAAGCAAAGCTCATGTTCTTTTATACCCGTTATCCCAGCTCCAATATGCTGAAGACCTACTTCTCTGATGTAAAGGTAAGGGCATTTTTTAAATTACTAATTCTTTCAATTCCTGTGCGTGAGGCAGTGATGTGAACTCCTAGAAGTTCGTGGAGATGAGTGTGGAGCTGGTTCATTAATACACCTGTTTTGCAATTGATTTAATGCACTTGCCCTTTGGTCTAAAGCTGTCCCAAGCTAAGAGGAGGCTCCTTGACTATCAAGGCCAAAGGACTGGTCACATGGATTTTCATTGCAGTCAGGGAATCTCAGCCTCTATCTTTCTATGTCTTAATAACTTCTTGGAAGAAATTTCAGCTAGTACTGGTGGGATGTGCTTTAGAGAATGTTTTTGTTTTTTTTTCCTCCCCTCAGCAACAGTAAACTGTTTCTGTTTTTGTTTCTCTTCATTTCCCCATATTTGTGCTTAGGAAAGCAAATGCTAACACCTCTTTTTTCCCCCTGTCGAAAGGAGCGTACATTGAAATTCTCTATGCAGTAGCTGCTTAAAAACAAAAGTGATGATTGTCTCTTATTTACAACTTAATTTGTTGTTGATGTAGAGTACACTGAGCATAAGGAGAATGAATAAAGTGACAGATTCAGGACACATTATTCAAATGAGGATATGAAAGCTGTCGGCCTACAGCTGCAGCCTCCCTCATTCTACAGAATATGGGGACCTCCTGGTTCTGTCTGTGTGTGTGTGTGTGCATCTGTGTGTGCGTCTGTGTCTGTGTGTGGGTTTTAAGTAATTGTTTGCAACAACTTGATGTTGTGTTAATCATCTGTAACTTTTTAAAACATAGATTGGGTTTTGATGATGATAATGACACGCATGGTATCATTATCCAAGGAGCTTGATAAACATTACATTAGCTGAGATGAGTTTATTAGGGTTGGGTGCTCATCCCCCCACCCTCCCCTGCCCACCCCCCATACGTCCAAGTTCTTCCCTCTGCCATGGAGAACCCAAGAGCTGCCAAAACGTGCTCGTTCCCCCCACGGCTCCCCTCTCCGCCGTGTGTTTTGTGCCTGAGTGGTTTCACTGGCCCCTTTTGCAGGCCAGCCCATTTCAGCCTCCCTGGCTGGTGTTTTATTTGGCCTTATAAGAAAAGTTCTGTTTCCTCTCCTGTTTACTTTTGAATCTCATATCAACCTCAGCCTTTTATCTTTCTCCTTCCCTGGCTGAGCTCCTTAAGGGGAAGGCATGTCTCCCCCTCATTCAGTGCCAGCAGACGGGGCAGGATGGGGAGGCAGAGAAAGGCAGTATCTTAAACGGCTGGTTAAGAATCATTAGGCACAAGGAAGGCCGAGTGAAAGGGTTTGGACCTTGAGGGAGACCATCTAAAACTGACAAACTGAAGGGCATTTGCCAGCCGGCTGAGGACCGGCCAGCTTCTAGAGCTAGTTCTTCCAGGGAATCCTCCCAACGCTTGAGTTCTAGGCAAAGGAGAGAAGTGTTGTGCACACGTGCGTGTGCATGTGTGCGTAGGTGTCCGTTACTGCCTTGACGCCTCCTGGTGCAGTGACCTGCAGTGTTGTGATATAATAATGACAGTCCCTTATATAATTTATACAGTACCTTTCATCCGGAAGGAGGCCAAAGGGCTTTACAAACTGCATGCAGAGGGATCACGCACCTACCATTGCAATGCAGCCACCCGGAGAGGGGAAAGTAGCAGCCACGCTGAACCAGCAACAGCCCCCAACAGTGGATGTAAATGTTAGAAGCAGTCACGTGTTTGCGTGTGTGGTGGCTGGAAGGGCCAGGGTGGGAGAGGTTGTTGACTTGTAGTTTTATAAATACTAGGGCGTGTAAACCGACCAGAAATCCTTCCCATTCCTTTGAATACATCTAGTAATTCAGCTTTGCAAATAATCACTCAGTCTATGTAAATAACAATTAAATACCTGGGTGACTATTTCATTTTTTAAAAAGCACTAATATTCAGATTATAGATTCTATCCATACTCAATCCAGACTGGGAGAGTAGGCAGCTAAAGTATACGGGAGTCTGGTTCACTCCCAATTATCCACTCTAATGGAGGGGAAACAGTAGGGCATATAATGCAAAGCAGAAAATCACCGAAGGTCATTTCTCTTTTATTCTGGGGATGAATTATACATTTTTAACTTTCATAGTTGTGTTTTTTCTTTGGCTAGTAATAAATGAATTTGTATTCCTGGAGCTTTCACTAATGATCGTGGAAAGTCATGCATAGAAAGGGAAGGATAGTCCAGGCAAGGTGTTCCAGAACCTTTCTAGGAAGCAATGGCAGGCTTTTCTTGGATCTCTTTAATATGAAGGAAAATCCAGACTTGAATGTTAATGATGCATATACTCATAACACATGTGTGTGTGTATTATGGTTTATATATATTTGTAGTGTGTTTGTATGTATATTATATACACATATCTCTATCTGGATGTAGATATATAAATGTGGATACTTATTTGCAAGGCTGAAATAACTAGAGATTCTCTATCTATGAATATACTCTCTGTGAATATTTGTTTCAGTCCCGATTCAAGAAACCGCAGGATCGAGAGCATCCTAAAAATTGGAGAAGAGACCTTAGGGTTTATGAGAAATGAAACCCTGCGTCACATATCTTGAAAAAGACGTATTCCTGTGTCTATGCACCAAGTAATACTTGTCACAATGGCACAAGCATATTCTTGTTTGTGTCCACGTATCATGAGGAGAAAATTCCTAATTCTAGCAAAATGCACCCTTCTAAATCATAAAGTCACTTCATTTCAAATAGTGCTCGGAAGTTTGTTTTACAAATAAAAACAAAACAAAACAAAACAATACGAGCGGAAAATATTTTGTTTCATGAATAAGGTGTAGCCTGCGTGTCCATCCAAGACACAGCTGGGGGACAGTGCTAGACTGAGTTAATCCTCCCTCCAGCCAGCTCCGGAAGGTGGGCCCGGCCAGGGCAAGGCTCCCTCCCTGGTATTTTTCCTTAGGAACAGATACCCTGCGTCAGTCTCCACACATGACCTCTGTTTGGGAAGGAAGCAAAGGCTTTTCAATTACCTTGGAAAGAAAGAGTAGGAGGAAATGCTATACAATTCTGAGATGTTGGCTTGGTGAGAGAAATTCTACAGCGATGATATATAACCCCAAGGCTGTCTCAGTTTAACTCCCAGAGTAAGACTTTAAACAAAGTTCCGTATTCTCATAGAGACTCCAGCTTAATTCCCTCGCCACAACAGTTAGCCAGACAAAAAGCTCAGCTCATCAGGGCTTCAGATCCTTTCAGAAGGGCAGGGGGGCACATGGAAGACAGAGGCCAAGAACCGATGGAGCACCCCCCTACCACGGCCCCGCATCTTCCCGGGCACTCCTGGGTGCTGATTTGAATGTATAAATTAATAACTCTTAGGCCACTAAGTACAACAGATTTGGTGTCATCTTAGCTTTGAAGAACAGACGCTCACAGCGTTTCAAGCCGGCGGTGCTAAATGATGTATCTCAGTCCCTCCACCCCTTGAGTCAACTGCCGCCTGGCCAGATTAAGGTGTCAGATTGATTTGTTTTATACATCTTTTGACCATGCTCACTGAATATTTAGGAAGTTTCTTCAGCCCATATTGAGGCTGAGATGTCCCGTGGGAAGCATTAATCAAAGTCACAGAGCCCCGTCCACTGTGGAAACACAGCCTCTTTATTGTGGCGATTAGTTTCTGCAGTAACACATTAACACACTACAGAGCTTTCCGTGATGGAACAATTGATCCTTTTCTCATAAGCCACTACAGAGCGGGGGGACATTAACTCTTTAAAGCTGAACACTTCTTCTCCCCCAAGAAGAATCTCTGGAAAAGAGGCGGGGGGGGGGTTCTGCCTCTGCTCACGTCACCAGCGGCGAAAACCGGACAAATTTCAGTCCCCCGCCTGGTGGAGGCGAACCCTGTTCTTCAAGCTGTTGTGCTGGTCATTTCACGTGTCTCGTGTTTGGGGCGTCTGTTGTTTTTGCCCATTCTTCCTCTCTGGTATTTCCATTCTCTAACAATAAGCTTTAAATCTCCCTTTATGTCCCATTTCTAAATAATGGCAAGTGCACTTACTTTTTTGTCCCTCCCCATTAGGTCATTCATGACCATTCTAGAAAAAAAACACCCTTCTATTTTTTTCCCCTACAGTACTCTTGTCCATATGAGACAATGTCTTGTAACAATGCAGAAGCCTAATCTCCATGTCAAAGCAATTTTCATTCCCCAGTGCACAGCCTGCTATCATTTTGTAATGTTTTGTTTCTTATTCTAAAAGAATTAAAAAGGAACAGTAAGCCGTCACGGGGGCCTGTAGTCCTTATCTCAGTGTCTGGAAATTTGGACAGTGTATTTTACTGCTGAGATAAAATGGAAAGAACTCCAAGTTCAGCAAATCGTAATGGGTTTAAGTTCTATTGAAATCGGCAACCAGAAGATCAGATAACGGGGGTCCTTCAGTTGTCTTTTTAATCGGGTTCCCCGCAAGGCTGAATAGAGACAGAGCAGACACACAGAGTAAAAATATAATTCTTGGATAGGTTAAGTACATGTTTGAACTCTTGCAAGCAGAAGCGATTTGCTGATGACTTAATCATTTTCTGGTCAATTATCTATAAGGGCCCTTGCAACTCCACGGCAATTATGATGCAAGTTGGCCTTTTGGGAGAAACACCAGTCCCCCTGCTTCTGTTTCCTTGTCCCTTCCATTCTCGGCCATAAATTTTCATTCATTTATTATCTTTGCTGGTAGAGAAACAACTTTCTGTGCAGTAGTTACAGCCCCAGTGCACACTTTAGCTGTCATCTTGTTGGAGTCTGGGTGTTCTCATGGCCAGTGTTTGATAAGTGGTCTTTGTTGATTTTTGATGAATGTACATCTTTTTCTGGGGACCCAGGGAAGGGAATGCCTGTGATGACAAAAGGCAGGGGGTTGTCTGTCAGCCTGCCTGATAGAAAGCTATGGATTTATTGGTTTTGACTTGGCAAGTTGAGATGCATCTGTCCTTTACACGAGCAGAGGACTGTCAATAAGCTTGGTATCATTTGCAGTGAATCCAGGAAGACATCACCATGTGAAAGGTCATCGGGAAACCTTGATAAACAAAGTTTAAAGCCTAATCATGTTGTGTTGTGGTAATCTGGCATTTAAAAAATGTAATAAAGATTCCGTCTATGCCGCCTGTGGACTGTGTCTTAACCACGCCTCCCAAACTGCATAGACTCCAATGGAAGGGGCCAGGGGTCCTCTCCAATGCTGGCGGTAGGAAGTGTGTGAGCAGGTACGGAGGTCTGACCAGACGGCATCTGACGTGAGCACCCTGTGCAGACATTAAGTAGAATGATAGCCAATGGCCATGAAGATGCCCCATTACCAAAAAATAAGTAAATGCCAGATTCTTCCCATTTTGTCTGGAAGCCATTTTCCAGCATTGTATGAGGTTATCATGTGGTGACACAAATTCTCTTAAAAAAAAAAATTCATGCTAGTGGTGAAGTCACGTGACTCACCATCTCTGGTACTCGAATGTAACAACTTCCCAGGGTTCTATGACTTGAACGAATTTCCATAAGAAGTATACAAATGCAATTTGTTCTACTGAAAGATGAAGAACAATGTTTCAAAGAAGACATTCAGCTTCAGGAAAATCAGATTTAGAATGTGAGTTTCCATTTGGAAGGTGGAGGGTTGGGATGCAGCCTCCATTGTTGGTAAGCTTTATAATAATATCCCAGAAGTATATCATTGTGTTGCCTCTCTTGTCACCATTTTGGTGGAATTAAAAACATACCTTTCCATGGAAGGCAGGGAGGGGAGTTTTAAAGATGCTTCAAATGCTTAAAGAATGAATGAAGAAAATGACAACGTTCTTACTCTTTTTCAACATTTAAATTTTAACAGTTCAACAGATGCATTACCTCTCAGCTCATCAAGTGGTTTAGCAACTTCCGCGAGTTTTACTACATTCAGATGGAGAAGTACGCGCGTCAAGCCATCAATGATGGGGTCACCAGTACCGAGGAGCTGTCTATAACCAGAGACTGTGAGCTGTACAGGGCTCTGAACATGCACTACAACAAAGCAAATGACTTTGAGGTAGGAACTCATCTTTATTTTTGGTCATCTCCTCTTATTAAAAAAAAAAAATTTACTTTCTTTACAAATGCCCCCAGATCTGTTTTTTGCCTTGGTGTCTCACAGAAGCGTTCCCCCAAATAGGGCAAGAGGTAGGGCGGCAATGAGGAGCCCCCATGGGGTCCAGACAGAGTCCTGGGAGCTGACCCACTTGTGTTTCCTCTCCTGTTCCCCGGCGCTGCTGCTTTGTGTGGAAGACCCACATGGCCACACTAGAGGGAACTGGAGACTCCGAGGAAAATGGCAGCAAGGAACACACACAGAGTGATTCCCTTTCCAGAGAAGAGGTCCCTCCCCTAATGGGCCTTTTTCATATTTAGGTTCTGGCACGTGGACTGAGCTGACATATGCTGTGTTCAATGATAGCTGCCAAAGTTGCTTTCCTTAAAAGTCCAGAAATATTGATGGAGGAGTGATTCTGCGGTTTCTAACATTAATCAGCATTCATTTCCTTTACAGCAGAAATGGTATGGGAAATTTACTTAAGTATGTATTATAAGTGATCTCTTGACACCTTTTTTTTGTTCGTTTCTGTTTTTGCCCTTTGTGGAGGAGAGCCTCGTGTGTTCGTTTTGCATACGTGCAGCTTCACTAGCATGCTGCCCTTTGTTCATACAGCCTTACACACTCCGGTGTGTCTACGACAGGCGTGTTCTAGACACACACGAAGCAGTGTAGACGATCCCCAGAAAGCAGTGTCTGTGCAGTGCGGAGAGATGTGTGGCTGTGAGTAAGGCATTTCTTTGCTGGCTGATGTGGTGCCTTAGCAAGCATTTTTCATCGCAGCATGATGGCACCCCATGAGATAGCACTAGCGAATCTCCCAGTACCCACAAAGGCATTTTGCTGAGCCCTGCCGGCTGAGACGACAATGGTTAGAGGTGAGGCTGTGACCAGGGTTCTGCAGGCTGAACCCCCTGATGATGAGAGTAGACAGGCTGTGGCTTGACAGAGTTGGTCCTTTTCTTGTATTATCTTGTGGGTAGAATTGTTTTCTCCCATATCTGCTTGTACAGGGACCTTATGTTAATTTCCTTGCTTTCCTTACATAGATAGTTACCCCAGAACGCCCAGGAACTTCTCAACGTCGAAGGAGAGAGGGGCAGCTTGGTCTGGCCTTGTCAATAACGACCTGACCCTGCTGCCCTCTCTCCTTGTCTTTTTCTCTGGGGGCCCTTCTCCCAGTGGTATTAGCAGTGCAGATCAGTCTGGGTGACTTATAAAGACCTGAATGTGAAAGCTTATCAGCAGGGAAGTCATGGTTTTTCCTTGAAAACCATTTCAAGCATTGAATGGTTGCACAGCTAGCCACCAATTTCTCTTTGCTATCCAAGACCAATATATTTTTCTGGCCAAATGGGTTCTAAGCAAAGTTTTTCTTTGGCTGAACACATTAAAAGTGAGGCTCCTTCTTGCACTTACTGTTCCAGTCTTTTAAAGTCTCTGTTGTCACAGAGCAGAGGTTTACTGTATTGACAGAACACTGGTGGATTTCTTCTAAAGCTGAAGAGTATGACTACGGCTAAACATTTTAAAGAAATCTGATTAAGAGGCTTCATTTCTTCCCCTCCCCCTTTCTGATGAGTCTGTTGCTGTCAACTTTCAGCTGAGAGAATTCAGCAGTGTGCTGGGGACCTGGTCACACTTCACAATGCTCAGTGTTCGTTTGGCAGCAGGCGCCAAGCTTCATAAAAGAACTGCCCAAGGTGCATGGGATGGTTTCTGCACTTTTGCTGAGTAACCTACTCAAGAGAACAAATCCTCACAGTGCCCATTAGGATTCTGTAGGGTGGTTTAAGACCTTACTGGTTGATTTTAATCCCCTACTCAATGCGAGGGCCAAAATGAACAGGGGATGGCTGGCATCAAGAGGGACCCGACAAACTGCTCCATTTAGCGTCATCTAAACCCCCCTTTAATATGATTAACATCTGATATTCCTCTCTCTGTGAACCATATCCGCTTCCAGCCAGGCCACCTCTCCTTTATCTGCACTGTCTATTTTAAGACCGCTTCAGCGCAAAGAGTATGGGGCCCAGGGAGCAATTTTGTCACTTCTCATGTGACTTCAGACAAGTTATTGGACTATTCTGGGCCTTATTCCTCCTTTAGTAAAAACTAGGCTTGTTCTGGAAATGCAGTAAGAACGAAGCAGGAGCATGGATTCTGCCCTGCCCCCTCCACTCTGATGCTCACACGCACCTGTGTACACACAGACGTGCACCCACTGCCCCACAGGATCCTGACATCATGAAATAACTTTTCATTTAGCTTCTCAGTTTGGGGCCTTTACTAACAAAAGCTTCAGATAAGACAATCCTTCTTTTCTGTGCCTTTGTGCATGGAGGTCAGTGCTTAAGTGAGATGCTTAAAAAGCCACTGGTCTTATCATTGTCGCTGTCCCACTGTGGGCCGTGGCTGCCAGCCAGAAGCAGACCCAGCACCTCGAGCGGATACCTCCACTGATACTGTGTGCACTGCTTGACTTTTGCCTCTAAGTTTCTCCTCTGGAAGATCGAGTCAAATGAATCTGTAGTCTAATCCAAGCAAGTGAAGAAGATGGCAAAATAGAGAACCGTACACCTTGTTTCTTTGGAAATTTTTCAGCAGAGGAGGGTCCTGGTAGAGCGACTCTGAAGTTGTGTCTACCTGATGCTCAAAGAGCCAGTCAAGTCAGAGGAATATCTTAACCCAACTGAGTATTAGCAGGCCACAGAAGGAAACTGTCTTCTTAACTGCATTTTAAAATTTCTCCATCACTTCAACAGTGGTTTGTAGCAGCAATAAAATTACTGTTTATTATGTTCTGGGCACTCTTCTAAGAGTTCTACCAATATTAACTTATTTAATGGGAGCACTGATAATGATGTGAAGATCAGTGCAAGAAGAACTTCAGTTTGCCTAAAACTTTATGCTGGTTTTAAAGTAGTTCTAAATGGGTGGGGCTGGGGAGGGGGAGTCAGAGAGGAGAGCAGGGTGTGAGGGTGAGTGAGGCAAATGCTTTCTCTCCTTCGCTGCCACTTCTTCCTTCCTTCCTTCTCTCCTCCTGCCCATGTCTTTTTTTTCCAGCCTTCTGCTCCATCTCTCTCTGTCATAGCTTGCTGGTGGCACCTCTGTCACTGCTTAGCACCCTCCCCCTCCAGCCCCGGCTGCTGATGGCTCTCCAGACTAGAGTGGTTGCTGACCTCTGGCCTACAGGAAAAGAAAGCAGATGGGGAAGGTTTATCACTAGTGCAGAGGGAGTGGCCTGACTCTCCTCTCCTGGACCCCGCGTTTCCTGGCCTGCAGGAGTCGGGACCTTCTCCGTGATAGGAGAGCTTGCTCTGCCTTTTGTATCAGTTTACACACTCGCCAAGATTCTTGGCACGGCACTCAGACTTGGGGTGGTGAGAGCTTGAGAAGACCCAGAGGAGGTGGAAGAAGGCGCTGAAGGGGGCGGGGGTATGAACCACACTTTCAGCTTGTGCTCAAGGGAAGAAAGTTGGCTACGGGACCAGGGTCGGGCATCTCGCTCCCAACGGGAGCCTGCGAAGGTGTGCGTATTCAGTGACAGGCTGCATCTTTCACTCCCGCGTCTCACATTTGGTGAGGCTGGCAACAATCAATTTGTCTTTCCAGGTGTTATGGTATATACTTCCATGCCTCGTTTTCAATTCTCTTGGAAGAGCTTCCAGAATTGGTTTTTATGGGGAGGGAAAGGCTTGGGATTCCTTCCCAGTCTTTAAATCACACTGATACCTCTGACTTTAGGGGCACAGGAGTTGGATTTTTTGACTTCCATGTTGCCCTCACAGCTGTGGCCAGGAAAGAAGGTAATGTCAATATCCAATTCTGCTGTCAGTTTGCAAGGCGGGTTTGCGTGTTTTTGCAAAGAACTCAACTAAGGCAAGCAATCCATTTAAGTCGCCAAGGTTAAATTCACTGCTTAAGGACTGGGAAGACATCCACTCTGGTTTGACTGCAGCAGGCTGACCACTGTATATGGGGCTACTGAGAAAGGCAGAACGGTCCTGAGGTTGGGGGTCTGAGATGGTCTCCGTGTAGGCTGAGAAGAGGGTGTGGTCGACACCTTCACCCAGGCTGATCCTTCTGAGTGGAGGGGCCTATGCATTGGATTGTGTTGCTTTTTTGTTTCCCTCTCTGCTGTGGCAGGAAAGAAAGCGATGCTCACTGTCCGTTTGCAAGGCCGCACTGAGCGCTCCTTCTCGCTCTCCAGTTCCACAAGCTAGGTCTTGCCCCACTGTGGTCAGCCAGGCATCCTGCACAGGCCGTCCGTGGCTGGTCAGTTCACTGTGGGCCAGGTCCAAATGCCCAGAAAGAGTGACTGACTTCCCTTGCCCTCAATTAAGACCCAGGGCTTTGGATGGAAGGCTGAGAAACAAATAGAAACAAATGAATTAGCGGACTTGTAAATGCCATTCCCTAAGATACTAGTAACTCACGGGGCAGAAGCTCCATTGTGGAACCTGTGGTTTGGCTTTTTCCTAGGTGCCACGTGACCGGCAGGAAGGAGACCTCTGCGGGTCTCTTTCTGTGTTTCCTCACTTTCCTCTTAGAAAATGAAAAGGCAGCAGTCCTCACTTCCAACCCCCTCACCCACCCAAACACACGACACTCCCGTACTCGGACTGAATCTGTTCTCTCCACCATGCCCACCCCTATTCCCAACCCACTCCCGCGTTCAACTACAACACACATTTAAGAAGATGTAACACATTTGGAAGTCTTTCATTCGCTTTGTCATCTCTTTACAGAAAAATGAGGACAGGTGGATTTAGGAAGCGCTTCCCTCTGCTCCAAATAGATACTTAAATATGAGTGATCATTTGGAAAACTGGCGCACGAGTGAAACCCTTTTACGGCTGTTGCAGTCTTTTGGCCTCAAAGCCGCTGCACCATTTAAATGATCGCACGGCACACTCTTGGTGGGTGGCGAGGAGGAGAAGAAACCTTTACCATTT